AACTAAGTTAAAGACTGCTTTATGTACTACAATGTGCTTCATTCTCTTAATTATCACTCACTTTTTCTGTATAACAGTTTTGGCACAAGTGGTTAGACAAATATGTGTCTATACCTTTATGTATGGTTTTGTTTCCTGTTCTATTGCCTTGTATTCTGTGAATGACTAAAACCTGGTGGAATGCATTTACTCTTTTGGTTTAAAACTCATTCTCCTTATCTTGTATGCAAGATGTCATTGTTATTCCTTGTTATTGCTCCTGTATTAGCTTCACTAGCTATTAGCCTTTAACTAATGATGTTATTTATTTGAAATAAATGTAATTTAATCCTTGAAAATGGCATTATTCAAACCTCTTACAACAACAACTTTCACTTTAATGATAGATCAGGACAGAGCTCTGGCTCTGTATAATTATATTATATATGTATAATTTGTTTCTTATTTAGTGCTAGTAACATATTTTTCACACTGTAAGGCCCACTTAAAATCCTTTAATTTTCTCAAAAACCAACAGTGCGCCTTATGTATGAATTCTGGTTGTGCTTAATGACCTTGAACCCATTTTATGTGGTGCACGGCGCTCTGTTTTTAAGAACCTCAGCCTTTATTCAAGAGTTTTATCAAAACAGCTGACGAGTCCCAATTGGGATGAGGGAGTTTTTGGTCCTCATCAGATAAGTTGTGGTCTTGTGTGTCTGAATAGTGTTTTGAGTCCCCTGGTTTAACTCCATGTAAAGGATTTCCCTGCTCAGCTCAGGCAGCTGGTCCGGCAGTTTTATCAGATGTTTAGTTGTCTCAGTTTAAAGACTGCATCATGTAATTCATTTTATATCATTCTTTTAACTATTGTTGTCTTTTTTTTAATAACACTTTTAACAAAAAGGTTTACATACATACTTTTATACACACACTTCACACTCAATCTACCTTCAAGACTGTAAAGTTTATTGTGTTTTTTGCTGACACACAGTCCAGATGTATATTCCATGTATTTTGTAGTGGCAACCTCTGTTTTGTTTTCTTTTTTGTTATTGGTCAGTTTAAAATCTTGGACACTTAAGAATTGTTGTGCAAAATATTGGAAGCATACATCCTCAGATTTAAAGCGACCTTCACTGACCTTATTTGCCATAGCTGGTATAAAGGGCTGTTGCTTCATTTGTCCTTTTGTTCACCAGATTGTTTCATCATCTTCTGTTGTAATAACATCCAAACTTCCAGTTTCTACTACATAATCATAGTTCTTCTTAACCTTTAAGTTCCTGTCAATGATTTAACTTGTTTTTGTTCTGTCATGTGCCAGCTTGTAGCTCTGTGTTCTGTAGAAAACCTTTGGATTTCCTGTCTGCCATACGAGCCACTGTGAAATTTAGGTGGATTCCTCTGATACATATTTCATGGCCATTATGAATAAACTTTTCAGTATTTACCAGTTGTTATCTACTGCATCTAAGCTTTGTCATTAATAATTACCATAGCTCATTACTGGGGACTGCTAAAGAGGTATCATATTATCCTATAAAATAGGCTATTTTTAAAAAAATTGTGATAAAGATAACTATAAAAAAAATTTCAATGTACCTGTGCTCAAAGCTAAATCTATCTATAAGGTGTATTTAAAACAATATATAAAGTATGTCGCTTGTAAATAAGTTGAACACAATCATGATGTATTATTTGAAAATTCATATTAGTAGAAAAAAAGTAATGAATCTTATCTTTAGATCTAAAGGACATCT